TTATACTTCTTTTAGCACTCTACAAGAGCACATGCAGCTCAAGAGTTTCAAACCATGGCAACTGTGCATGCTTTCATTTTCTGATGGTTCTGGTCTGAACTGGACTAAACGACCTGTTCTGTATAGTAGCCAGTGCTGATAAGTCAGTTGCTGATTTTCCTGACACACTTACATTAAACACTAAAAAACTGCTATGAAACCAGATTTCTCATCAACGGAGCACTCAATTCAGCAGATAAGCTCTGGAGTCAAGCACAATATGACGTGTCATTATAATAAATAAATTGGGGCCGTGATAAAAGGAAAATGAGACCTTTAAACCCACAGTCTTTACGTTGACAGAGATTATCTGTCAAGTATATGACTCTATTCATCTCTTTAGCATATTTTCCTTAGAATGAAAGACCCTTAGGGCCGCTAAAGCAGGACAGGGAACGGTCTGACTCCCAATTCTGACACATCTGGTGTGTTGATGGGATTTTAATTTGATTACAGCAAACATAACAAGTACCTCTGAGGCTGATTCTGAAACTAGAAAACCGCTCGCAAATCCAGTCTAGTGAGCACATGCTGATGGCAATGATGATATTCTCAATTTATTATTATGACAGACACTAAATTAGAGTTGACTCCAGGATATAAGGGGAAGTCCCACCAGAGTGTAATTAAAAAGGTAAGAATATCAATAAAAAAATAGAGTGTGGTAAATGACCTTCTGAATAATAATCGTTAGTGATTTATGATCGTCGTCAGAAAGCACGGAGAGGGGGCGAAGCAGGAGCCCACAGAATTTTCATAAATCTTCTATATATTAAATCTGGAATCATAATCCTGAGGTTTATGAGCTGTGTTGAGGTACGGTCAAATATAGCAACTAGAGTTCATAATATGGATGGATGGATGGATGGATGGATAGATAGATAGATAATATAATATTTATTTACTTCATAAAAGTCAAGATATTTATGTTTTATTTTGAGGTCATAAGAGTTAAAAAAATATATTTTGTGGCACACTGTAATATAAATGTCTGTCTTGTCTGATCGGAGTGCATTGTTTGGAAGCCTAGCATATGTCAATTCCATGAAGCCACAAAGATCGTAAAAACATCTAGATTATTTTCCCCCCTAATAAGAGATGGCACAAAAAGAATCCCAGGGGAAAATGAACATTGGCAAATTTATTGTTTTTCTTCTCGCTGAGAGGTAAGTTCTGACTTCTTTAAAAGGTCAGGGACATCAGGTAAGTCCTGCTCCGAAAGGTCTGACTGGTGTTGCACGCGCTGACCTGTGAAATATCAGCTCTATATAGGACCTGCCGCTACCAAAATGATGCAATTTGAAAGTCTGTCAGCGGTCACCCTTGCTTGACCCCCCTAGGCAGCAACGTCAGATGGAAGCATGCAATGGAGATTGGTGGTCCAGAAGCAACTATATGCAGTTTTAGAGCAGCAGGTACATCACATCATGTTATGCTTGAAAATAATTATCGCTGAGTTCTGTTCACACTCACACAGTGCACAAATTGATGCAAATACTTGAAGAGTAATAACTCTATTCACATTATCTTGAAAATACAATCATTTCTAACATTTTCTGCACCATTATGAAGAACACCTTGGTTAAACTGAAGATACTTTCATTGTACAAAGCAGATGTCATTTGCATCTTTCATACACAGAGTTTCTAAACAAATAAGTAAAAATTGAGCAACCATCATATTTCCCCTCTTTTACAAGAATAAACAACTCTAGAAACAATTAAAATAAAAAGCATAAAAAATTGCCTGATTGGTACAAAAAAAATATTCTCCATAATGATTTTTAAAAATGCTGGGTAATTTTTTTTGGACTGTACTAAAGCATAAAAATACTGTAACATTTGTAGATATTAAGAAAACATGCTCAGTTCACATATTTGTGTGTGATTTCACATACTGCAAATTTACCCAATAATATTTCGACACTTGGCGGTTGGCGGAAAACACAGCGTACTGCAGCCATGGAAGCCAGCAAAAAAAGTGGGTCAGAAATCAGATTCTACACAACCTGAAAAGCATCGGCATAAAAAAGCAAATGAAAATGCGGATAAATCAATTCATCAACTTAGAGTGTAAGGTGTTCCTCAATCTTGCAACCCACGTAAGCATTGAGTCTGAAGAAACAACAGAAAAAACAACTTTCAAATATTTTGAATTTGGACTGCAGTAACAATTTATTTATTTTCTTCTTCTTCTTTTTTTTTAAACTAAATGTTTATTGGGTTTTTAACAGGAATAACATACCAAATAAGACATATCAAAATTACATAAAAACACAACAGCATTAAATTTAAAAAGAAATAACAACATTTGCCAAGTTATGTCTGCCTGGCCAAGTTTGCAGTAGCAATTTCAACCGCTAGCTGTTTTACATGCTGCACCTTTAAATGAACTACTATTCTAATCAAGTGCAACAATATTTCAGAACTTAAGAGTTCCATTTTTCATCTATTTGTGCTGATGAATTATAAATAAGATATTAGGTGTTTCCTCTTCCTCCGAGAATGCAGGATGTTTGCATGAGAAAGAGGTACAGTGCTTTGAGCAAAACAAGTGTCAGTTCTATTACTGGCATCGATATTTCCTTCACATCCACACACAGAGGGGTTCATTCACTTTGAATATTATCTGGAAAAATGACTGATCCGGCTCCATTGTTTAAGGTCATGCTGTTCATTAAAACTGACACGCCGTTTCTCACAGCGATGCTCGTACCCTGACCTTTCTCAAAAAGTCAACAGCTGTCTAGTTTTCTGCTAGCGGAACTAAACTTCACCAATTGCTCCTTCAAAATCCACCTCCATCTTAATTGAACTTTGATCTCAATTAAGAATGAAGATGTGTGGGCCCTGAAGTATATTATATCATGAAACAGCGTCAGTGACCAAAGCTAAATGCAGACGCAGAAAGAAAATGGCAATCGATGCCAGGGTTGCGCTTAGATTTGTTGTTAGCTGGTGTAAATGAGCACAGAACTCCCCAGAGGCCTGATTTGTGGAAAACTGAGTATTAGCGAGCCATCATTTTGTCAATACATACTTTCAATGCTGTGGGAGCAGTCATTGTGATGCATTAAAAGTGAGGCTGCACAGAGCCTCAGGGTTTAGCAGGCCAGACTACACAACTGTGTGAGAATTCAGTCTTCGTCATGACAGTCAGGTTTGTGCTTGTATTTGTGTTGCTGTTGATTTGAAGTTGGTAGGCTATTGTGTTTAACTAGCTATTGTGTTCTTTCTTTTCATCACCAGTTTATGTTTTTTTCTGCATTTTATCAATTCAAATTACCTGCACATCAGTAATAAAGAAAAATAAAATAAACACGCAGAAATGTGATGATAAATTAGAACTGTGAATAATTAACACTGTGCACTGCAAAAAAATGGCTTATCTTACTTAGTATGTTTGTCTTGTTTCTAGTCGAAATATCTAAAGATTCTTAAATCAAGATACTTTTACTAGATAAGCCAAATGACTTAAGATATTTAGTCTTGTTTCCGAGGGGGAGGGGGAACTAAATTAAGTGCATTTTGCTTAAAACAGGTAAAATTATCTCAGTGGGGAAAGAAAAAAATATTAAAAAAGATAGAGAGAGATAGAGAGAGAGAGAGAGAGAGAGAGAGAGAGAGAGAGAGAATTACTAAATTGCATTTTAAAGAAACTCAGGTGAAGCAATTTGGAAAATTAAGTGGAAAATGAAGTGTTTTTCACCCTGTTCTAATTATTAAATATGATTAAAAAATAATAAAATAAGTATAAAAATAGTATATATATATATATATATATATACATACTATTTTTATACTTTTATTTTTTATTCAATACTTAATATCTTGTAATATCTACTGAATATCTTAACTTCCTTATATTCAAATTACAATTCTGCATCATGTTTGCTACCTCAATTCAAATACAGGAACTGATTCTCAATTCAGCTCAGATTGGTACATAACCCTAAGAATGATAATAATAATAATAATAATAATAATAATAATAATAATAATAATAATAATAATAATAATAATTGTAATTAATTGTATTTACAAATAACAGATCAGACATGGTCGATGTAGTACAAAATCTTCCATTCTTTAAAATTGAGTTAAAACTTAATATAAATTAAATAGAGTATAATTGACTTCCAAGTCTTTTTTTCCCTAATTTGACAATGTATAGTAATTGCTTAATTGCACAACAATTACGGCGTAATATAGTAATCGTAGCCTGTACTTATATTGCACATAGAATGAAACACATCCTTTACTAGGAAAATCATTCAGTGTATTCTCAGAAAACCCATTAACCTTGAAACCCTTCTGCCCTACAGCAGCTCATGAAAAGAGCACTGCACTTGTCATCTCAAATCAGACGTCATCGCAAATCGTCAGACTTAAGCACCTAAATACGAGGCTTCTCTCTGTCCAAATTGAAGTGTTCAGTTGACCGTGTGAAAGATAAGGCTGCTCCTATCACTCTCAATTGCACAAAGCGTCCAAAAACACCAGTAAACGAGAATCTAACAGAGTCAATAAGGATTACAAAGGGATGACAAACTAAATTGAATTTAGACTGTAGAGGACTTCTATGGTTTGGATCAGTGTCGTAGTCTTTTTTTCTGCTCTAAATGTGGAAATAGTTAAGAAACAGGCTATACTTAGGTACTCTCCAACTGATGGTATAAATTAATACAACTGGCAAAAAAAAAATATATATATATATATTTTGTCCACAAAAATGTGACGTATTAACGTTGTGAATATGAAATTAACACTGCTCTTGTTTGAGACGGAATAGTTCCTGAAGTGAATACTACTGCTCCTCGCTCCAGGCAAAATCACATAACTCCGCTTGCCATCGCTCACATACTTTGCCTTGGATAGAAAGTGTAATGGAGAACGGGAAAAGAGCTAAGATGGAAGGAGAGGTGTGGGAGAGAGAGGAAGAGATGGTAGCTTTTAGCTCACCTCCATAAAGTGCTTTCCGTTACACTGCCAAGGTGAAAGTCATACAGCTTGGTGAGAATCAGAATCACCTGTGAAAAGAAAACAAAAAAAATCTAATAAATCTATATGCACTGACTTGTTTATTACTCTTATTCCTTTCAATCACATTTATATGAATTGCAGACAGTTTCTTTTTAGAGCCAAAAACGAGCTACAGGAGACTTCACATATTTCAATTTCCAAGACAGGTACTGCAAAATTCGAGTTAATAACAACAGTGCTATAGCTCTTAAGGTCTTTGCACACTGAGTCCGAAATTCTCGTCCGAAATTTTTGCACATTAAAAAATATATACGACCTCACATTGTCTCAATCACGTTTACACACTGAATTCAGATCAGGTTGGATGTTCTGCGTTTTTGCATCTGTAGCAAGCATTTTGATAGGAAAGGATGATTAAATAAACACTTATTACTTTACAAAAAAAAAAAAAAATTTAAATACTTTAACAAAATAAATAAATAAAAGTATTAGCAATATTAAACAGCAGAAGGTCAATTAGATTACATGTGTTTACACTGCAAGCAAAGCTACTGATGCAATACTGTACAAATAATGATTGTCCTGTCTGTTTACATTCACAGAAGATAAACTTACAATGTTTACATCAATGCATTGCCAAGTTGGGTATATACTGGCCAAAACACCAGTAATTCTGACATCTACTCCTCATAAAACTTCTTTAAAGCTATTTAGAAACCTAAGGGCTGTTGGATAGCTATGCTCATTTTTCCCAAAGCCCTTCAATTGTTTGTCTTCCCGACTCCAGTGATGTTGTGTTTACTTCTCTTTTGTGTCAACAAGCAGCACTCAATCGGCCTTCAAGGCTTTAATCTGGGTGGGATTGAGCTTGATAGTTTTCAACCCTGACCTTGGGCTCTATGATCTGTGAGAGCTTTTAGCCTGAGTGTCAGCGAGAAGACAGCGGGAGCTGCTGACCTAGCCATCCAGAACGTCAAACACTCATGCATGCACGCGCATCACACGTTCACAGCGCCGACCCCATCAAATGTCTCAACATGCTTCACTGCGCACACCACTGAAAATGATAAAGGCTTAAAAATGTGTTTTCTTTGCATTTTTCTTCATTTCATGGTGGCACTGTAAGGGAAAGTGGGGGTAAGATGTGTCGCCTTCTTAAGAAATTACGCATTCATTTACAGCTGCCTGGGCTTATCTAGGTTTAAAGGCTCATTCACACCAACAATGGTAACTATAAAGACAACTATAATGATAACAATATCAGCATCCACACCAATGGATGATGACATTCTGTTTATTATAAGCAAGTGCTTCAGTCCTATCGCCTGTCACTTTAAATACTCGAGGATGGATTCTGATTGGCTAGCAATGCTTTTATCATTCATCAGCTGGAGAAAAAAAAAGATCTGAAAGTGATTTTCATGATATCATTCCTCTGTTCTAAAATATATTGTTATATTTTAGAAAAAAAATGTAAATTGTATTGTTGTTATAGTTATCATACTATTACAAAATGTTGAAAATTCTCACTGCATTCAAACATTTTGAATATTAAAACTTTATTTAACTTTATGAAAAAAATCATCATGACATCATGCTTTACTACTGTCAGACTCTGTTCCGTGTTTTGTGTTCTCCCCACGTGTTCCATGGCCCATTTTTCCCTCATGTTTAATTATTGTTTCATTAGTTCCAGGTGTGTCTCGACATCCCATCCTCTAGTCATGTGTATTTAAAGTGTTTCCTGTTTTGAGTTCTCGGTCCGGTATTGTATATGTCAACCTCTCCTACAACGTGTGTTTTCCTGGTTCCTTGGATGTAATTAAAGTCTCCTTGTTTATGTACTCCTCGTCTCCTCGTTCCTCACTCCACGTTCCCTCACAGTAGCGGACGTGACAGAATACCGGACCTACAAGCAGTAAGCGGCACCCCTTCTCCCTGTGTTTTTGATTTCCTTTTGAAAAGTCTTTTGTTTTCCATTGTTTTTTTTCACGTGGCATGTAAATAGCCACTCGCTTCTCCGCCCTAGCCTGCAGAGATCTCCCCTTTGTGGAGTATACGTGGGAGTTCTGCAGGATGGCCGCGAAAACAGCGCTGGACGACGCCACACTAAAGGGATCCTAGTCTGCCTGCTCCGCCATGGCTTTCTGGTCTGCCTGCTCCACCATGGTTTCCTGGTCTGCCTGCTCCGCCATGGCTCCTTAGTCTGCCTGCTCCGCCATGGCTTCCTAGTCTGCCTGCTCCGCCATGGCTTCCTAGTCTGCCTGCTCCGCCATGGCTTCCTGGTCTGCCTGCTCCACCATGGCCTCCTGGTCTGCCTGCTCCACCATGGCTTCCTAGTCTGCCTTCTCCGCCATGGCTTCCTAGTCTGCCTGATCCGCCATGGAGCCCCAAACTACCTGATCCGCCATGGCTCCCAGAATGGGTACCGCCCTGGAGGATGTCCATCCTTGTAAGCCAGTCCTGAGAGGCCTCCAGAGTGCCCACCCCTCCTCCCCATTGGTTGTTATGAGGCGCGTGGATGTGTCTCAGGTGAGGCACAGGGCTAAAGTATCCAGATAGAAATTTGTTGGGATATTTGTTACCCATTCTCAGTGGGAAATTGCCCAAGCAACAAGGCTCAAAAAAAGTTGGCTGGCAAATTAGCTCAAAAAGTTGCCCCGTGTATCATCAGCCAAAGAAACACACTAAATTATTTACAAATTAGTGCTCTAAAGACAATAAACAAATCTCTGAATTGACTTCAAAAATTATTTTAGCACAGTCAATACACCCCCAAAAAAGGGAGATTGACTTCCACCATGACTTAATTACCTTTAAAACCAAAAAGAACATACATGGGCAGCATCACATTAGATGACAGACAGTTATATAATTAATAAAGGGCTCAGTCCTTATATTTGCTTCACAAACGCAAGGCGGAAGACAGCAAATGACAGAGGGCAGCCGTGATTATAAGTCACCGTTGCAGCACATGGTCCCTCACATTGACATTTTACATAATTAAGGCCATTTCGTTCTGTCAGATGCTGCTGTGTTTCCTGTACAGGTCTACGTAGGTTTGAGATGATGGGTTTCATTTGCATATTCATATTCATTTTCCTTTGATAGATTTGCCTAGTGTAAAACAGGCCTCTTCCCTGAAGCAGGGCGACAAACAAGCCGTCACTTTGAGTCATGTTAGTAGTAGCGGCTACTCTGTGTCTGTTTCAGAAGATAAAAGTCATGAGACGTGAAAAAAAATGTATGAGAGGGGGAAAAAAGTAGCTTATACCCTGTTCAAACCCCTTTTCTTCACATAACGATTCTACTGTATAACCAAGTGGCTTCAGCTAAAGCCAAGGCCAGCCTAACAGACGGACTCTGATATCTGTAACTGTCTAGGCTCATGACCGTCACAGAACAGATTGTTCAAACCAAGAATGATCATTCCACCACAGAGTTGCAAGTTGTCTAAATAAGAAGAGAAAAAAAATTTGGTAAGAAATTTGGAGATTGCCCAAGTTAGTTAGGAAAGAATCACAAGTTAGTTAAGAAAGAATCACAACCTCTGAACCCTTTCACTCCCTCTTAACTCTCATGCACTGATCAGAAACCCCAAGGCCATTTTAATATATATTAACTTTTAACAATTTAACAAGAGAAAAATCCTCAGAAAATATTGGACTTGATCTAGAAATTGAGAGAGAAACACATTAAAAATCTTGGAGAGAGCAGAAGATATGCAGACACTGCAATATAAACCATAAGAAGATGTAAAACAGATAAAAACAGATGAGATGTTTTCTTTTTTTTCTTTTTACAAGTACTATGCTTACTATACTATATTTATCTTTTCTAAAAATTTATTTTTATCAATTATTCTTTCAAATTAGATTGCATAGAAACTCCCAGATGTATTTGGAGTGGATGAAAGCCACACAGCCAGAAGCAAAAAAAAAAATAATGCTTGCCATTAGCAATATAATGTAAGAATTCTTCACACAAGAAAGAAAGAAAGAAAGAAAGAAAGCAAATTGAATATAGGGGTGTGAGAGACACAGAGAGAGATTTCTTGTCCCTAAGGGCTTCTATTCTTTATTGTGTGAAAGCACAGAGGACTCAGCTGCAGTGGCATTTTACACAAACACAATGTGGAGGCTCCAACCTCTTGATGGCATTCTGCATTGTATTTTCCAGCTGATCAGCAGAACTCTTGCTGACAAATAAAGCACAGATCTACCTCTGATGACTGGTGCTCAGCATGATATACAATAAACTACTGCAAAACAAGCAGATATGAGTAAAAGGTCATAAACGCTCTAAAGCTGCATTGAAACGTAACTTGTTTATTATATTGTTACTAGTTCTGTTCTCTCACTGGTCCATATTCATTTGTCTTGTTATCTTGTTTAGCAGTTCTGTTTTGTCATTGGTTGTTTTTGTCATGTGATTTACCCATAGTCTTGTATTTAATGCCTCGTTCCATTTGTACTTGGAAGTTGGAAATTCCCAGTTCCCAGTAGGAACTTTAACAGTACTGTCTAAGAGGAATTGCAGCAACTCCATCTTCAGAATCCAATATGGCTGCTCGGTGCATCAACAGAAGAGAAACAGTAGTACTATATCGTTTATTAGCCCTTATGTTTGTCTGTGTCTCAAACTCAGTGGTGCACACAGTACTCTCCAAACTCTGTTTTGTGGACATGAAACTCTGTCATTATCTTTGCAAAATACAGCTGTTTTTTAATTAACTGGTATTGCTAACAAATATCGTGTCCATCTAGGATTTCTGACTTCTCTACTAGAACAAGGTCCACTTGGATGTGACGTCATTACCAGCTCCTCCATCTGACTTTTGAGGTAATTGGAACACAGCATTAGCCCTGTTTGTCTTGTTTGTTGTGTATTAAAGTAGAGTATGTTACACTATTCCATGTGTCAGGTCATTGTTTATAGTCAAGTCAAGTTTATAGTTTGTTTCATGTCTTGGACATAATTCATAGTATGTTTTGGGATCGCTTGGGTTTTCTATGCCTTTGTCCTTTTATGCTAACATAATAAAATG